CGGGGCGGCCCGGGGCGGCCCTTATAAGGGGAACCCGAGACAAGACCCTCTAGAGCTTTCCGGGCTGGGCTGGAGCCTCTCGGAGAGTTTCTTTGAGGTGCGGCGGCTGCCCTGCCAGCACGTCTTCCATTTGCAGTGCATTGATGAGTGGCCAATGCCCAAGTCTCTCTTAGCACGTAACCTGAGAAGGTAACTGAAGGTATCTGAGTTTCAAAGTTTCCGAGAAGTGCCGCTTCGCTTCGTGCTGCTGCATCGCTCTTCGCCCCTCTTCTCAGAGGCTCCGCCGATGCACGGATTGCCCAATCTGCAAGACCAACGTCGACCGGTCAGTGTCCCTCCCAGAAGCTTTTTCAATAGTGCAGACTGCCATCAGTGCTCTGCCATCAGCGACGTGGCTCTTGCGCAAGCTGAGGTTCGACAATACTGACTGACGCCTTGACAAACGCGCGAACGTGAAAGATTCTGAAAGATTGCCATGGTAGTGGTAGATGCATGAGACTTCAACAAGGCACCTGCCATCATGGAACACTATCGTGGCTGGGGTGTGGCTCAAGCGCAAGGTCGCGGTAGAGGGGAGCCTGTCGCTGGCGCAATCGGAAACAAGCACAAGCAGACTGGCACTCAGCAGAACCAACGCGAGACTCCCCTTTCTTCTTGTTCGTTTCGTTGTGCTTATTTGGGCTTATTTCTCTTATGTGGAAGAAGAGAGGGCATCCCTTCCCCTCAAGAAGCAAAGGAAGAATGATTGTCAGCATGCTAGCAACTGTTGCTTCTGCACTTATGTGCAGCTAGCAGAATCTAGCAATCTAGCACTACGTAGGCATTCTTTACCTCGCGATCTCCCTTTAGTTTCACAGTTTCACACACCTCGGCTCGAACTCTCCGCCGGCAAAATGGGCGTACCGCGGAAGTGGGCGTGTCAGGCGGGTGTTCCTCGCACATTAGCTCAAGCTCAAGCGCTCTCTAGTTGAGAAGTTAGTTAGAACTTAAACAGAACACCCTGAAAAACCCCAAACCCCGCCCCTGTCCCAGTCTTTTCTGGAAGTGTGCTTCGGCCAGCTCGATGAGATCACGCACGGGGCTCTGAGGGCCGCTCTGATGTTTTTGAACTCAGCTCAACCGACTCTCAGCCTTCTCAGTCTCCTGTCACTCAACTGCCTCTCAACTTTTGACCCTTCGCCCAAACCCTTCAGAGCAAGGGTTTCCCAAACCTCGTTCGTGCTGGCCGTTGACCATCGTAGAGAAGTGAATGATGTCCTGCAGTTCAGCACCCCGGTCCATGTGCGCCGCGGAAAGGCGGTACTGGAGATAAGTTTGACCTTGACATGTTTGGTGTCGATGAAGGCATTCACCTAGATCCGGTTGCGATGGACTTGTGAATTGCATGGAACAGAAGATTGGAGTGTGCCAGCCGTTTGAGGTCCAACGGGAACCAGGCTTCTTTGACTCAGATTCTAAAGAATGGTACGCTGGGACGCAATGTTCATGATGGGGTGGCTGGGAGTCGAAGTGCTACTCGAAGACTGCAACGGGTTACAGGGTACCTGGTTCGTGTCGCAAGGAGCTCACGGGCGTGTCTGAGTTTGGGACAGTTGCACTCATGAAGAATATGGACCTGGGTTGTGACAAGGACGAAGTGTGGTCTTGATTAAGGCAGGCTCCGGACTCTGGTGGAAGCTTGTAGGTTCAGCTTTGGGAGGAACATCGACTGGCGTTGGTTGCTTTTGCCCCTCGAATGACGAACCTGCGTGAGGAAGACCAAAAAGAACTCAAGGGTCCTACCCAGAGCTCCCCATATCACGAGATTAGATCCACTCTTCGCTTGGACCCTTTTCTTCATAATGGTAAGCCCATGCAGACAAGGCAACAGCCGGGATGGGTACATGAACGAAACTACCCAAAGTGAAAGAACTTGGCAGCCGGGCCGGCCCAAGGACAGGAAAGGAGGAAAAGGTTGAAGGGGTTAGGTGGGGGGGGGGGTGGGCGGGGGGGTGTGGGCTTACAAAAAGCTCAAAGTTCGAATACCATGACGCCTTCACATGGGGAGGGAAGGAAAAGGAAGGCTCGGGGTGGGCCGCGGGGGGCGCCGGCCGCGAACTTGGCAAGGGGGGCCGGGGGCCGGAGAGAGGAAGCTCTGGGAAGGAGAGGAAGATCTCCCTATCGGGCCAGAGGCCGCGGCGACTGAGCTTTGTCGCCCGTGTGCCGCGAAGCTCATCAAGTTGTAAAGGGGAAAAACTGTAGTACAGTGCAGGGCCACAAATGGGTTTAAGGCCCGGGGAATTGGACTGCTTCTCAGGCCCTTTGCCAGAACCCTCCTGGGATGTGCGCCGGGTTCACAGAGGAGATGCTGGGATCCTGAATCCTGCTGGATGTGCAAGGCAATGCCGAGGATCAGACCTAACAAGATGCGCCAGGTACAGCCTGTGCTCTCTGCTTATGCCTGACCACAACAATGGCATTCGGGGGTGTCGCCCTTCTCCGTCTGAAAATGGACAGCGATATGCTGATTGTGAGGTGTTTCTTCAACGCGCTTTCCGAGGTTTCCTGGAGTTGACAGTTCAGGGCCTTCGTGAAAGATGGCAAGAAGCAGAGTGCTCGGCGGCACCGCCTTGTGTTACTTGCATTCTGTGCTTCAAACACCACCACTCCACATTCTGAATTCTTTCTTATTACTCATTGCATTTTTGCTGCTGTTCTGTGTGGCCTTGCGTGGCACCCTGCGTGGCACCTTGCGTGGACCTGACAGGTGCTTGGGCCAGGACGTGTGACGACTCTGGCCACGAAGTGTGAAGAGTTTACGCTGGGCGGTACCTGTGCGAGGCCGCTCATGATTTGTCGGATCTGGCGGTATCAGATGTAGGATGAGTGTTGACAGGCTGAGCGAATATCGCAACGTGTTGTCCAGTCTCTTTGTGAGATATTGTTTGGTGCCGAGATTCTGTGGCCCTCTGCCCATAAGGCCCATAAGGTAACGCAGAGGCCACATGAGAGCCCTGAGGTAGAGATGTGGAGGATGGGGGTCTATGCTTTGACACCCAGGTCCGGGCAGACACGAGCGCAGACACACTCACACACTGGCACATGCACGCACACACACACATACACATACGTTGTTTTGGTTAAATCTTGCGAGAGCAGCTTCGAGTGCCAATAAATGCACATGATCTGCAGGCGGAGCGTTCACAGCTGAGGTGGACAGATGTGGTGTGGACTCGCCCATCGACCTGCAAGAGGACGAAAGAAGTGCACACATGTGCACACACGCAACCTAATTGCAAGTGCTCGACACTTCCCCAGATGTGGGCCAGCTTGTTATCCGCCCTCAGAAGTCGGAGTGCCGCTTCAGCTCCGCACTTTTTTTAAATTCTTTTTGCAGTTCTGCCAGGCTTGGCTTGCCGGTCTGCATCATGTTCCCAGGTTAAGACCCACGCGTCCAAATCCCAAGGCCTTAGCCTGACCACGAGAGGCGCTTAGGTCAGGAAAAGTACTTGCGAGTCACCGAATTCAAAACTAGCAGAGACCTGTGAGTATGGGCTGAAAAAATCGCGAAGAAAGGTTGAAGATGGACTGACACTCACACGCACTCACACACGCACACACACACACGCACACACACACACACACACACATTCACACACAGAGTTTTCTCTTCACATGTGTTTTGACTGGAGACAATGCTTCGTCGTGCCAATTCTGAGTTTTCGCTGCTGAGCCTAAGTGCACCAAGACAGCGAATGTAAGATCCCGCTCTGACTGGTTCTGGGCGAAAGAAAAAAAGGCCCCAGAAAAAGAATCGCGTCTCAAATGTGCATACAGAAGCCCGAAACTAAGGCTACGTCGGACCTATGGGTAGGTCTACCCTAGGCCTACGGGTAGCCTATGTACAGGCCTACGTAGAGGCTATGCGAGGCTACCTATAGGCCTATCCGTAGGCCTACGAGTGGGCTACTGGTAGGCCTCCCTGTAGGCCTACCAGTCGCCTATTGACAGGCCTACCAGTAGGGCTGTGGATAGCCTACCGGTAGGCCTACCCGTAGGCCTACGGAAGGGCGACAGGCGGCCTATCCGTAGGGCTACAGGTAGGCTACCGGCAGGCCTACCCGTAGGCCTATGGGTAGGCTACCGGTAGGCCTGCCCATAGGCGTGTAGGTATGCTACCGGTAGGCCTGGTCGCAGGCCTATAAGTAAGCTATCTAGAGGCCGACCCGCAGGCCTAGGGGTAGGCTACCGGTAGGCCTACCCGTCAAACTGCTCCCTAAATTCTCGACCCGAGACATCATGTGCATCCGTAAAAGAAATCACGCGCGCATGGACTCTTAGGCCCTCCTTTTTGTGCCCGAGCCCCAGCCCCGAGATCATCACTACGGGTAGGGCTGCCGGTCGCCTACCCGTAGGCCTGCGGGTAGGCCTACCGGTAGCCTACCCGTAGGCCTGCGGGTCGGCCTAGAGATAGCTTACTTATAGGCCTGCGACCAGGCCTACCGGTAGCATACCTACACGCCTATGGGCAGGCCTACCGGTAGCCTACCCATAGGCCTACGGGTAGGCCTGCCGGGAGCCTACCCGTAGGCCTACGGATAGGCCTACCGGCAGCCTACCCGCAGGCCTACGGGTAGGCCTACGCGTAGGCTGCCCGTGGCCCTTTGATACGTCTACGGGTAGGCCACACGAGGGCCTACGGATAGGCCTACGCGTAGGCTGCCGCAGACTCTACCGACAGGCCTACGCGTAGCCAGCCGTAGGCCCTACAGCTAGGGCTACGGGTAGCCTATACGTTTGGGCTTCTTTACCCAAATGTGTAGTGTGCGTCTCGACCCAAACAAAGAGCAGCGTAAGAGCACTCACCTCTCCCCTCTCCCCCATCTCGCCAGGAGAACGCAGCATATGAATACGGTACCAGTTTGTGCAAGGCAAAGAATTGGGGTGTTCGAAGGCTTACGGGCAATGGCAATGTCTGAGTGACACAGCTTCGAGCTTATGTGCAGGACCTGCGGTACCAAATGTTGCTGGACAACCGCAGCAGGATTTCCACCTTTCCCACCTATGAGCACAGGTCATCACAGGTCAGCACAGTTGGACGCATGACATGAGCACGTGTCCTCCTTTTCCATGTGTGAGGATTCCGTGTTGGTACAACCGATTGGAGGAACAGAGCATTGACGCGCCCGATGAGGAGGCCCTTGAAGCGTTGCGCTGCGGTTGCAGAGTTTGCAGAGTTTGCAGAGTTGCAGCGCAGCGCACCGAGTCGAATGGCGAGATGTGGCGAGCCTCTCGAAACGCCAGGCCACGGAAGCGTCCTGCAGCGCGGCCAACACCTCCACTTGCATCTTCTCCAAGACGTCTCAGGTTCACTTCGTAACAGTACTATACCCAAAAAGATACTAAACGGGCGCCAATTCAACATTGAATTCGTGCATGCACGCGTGCATCCTTGCATCCTTAGCGTTCATTCCCTATTCATATACCTCATCATGGTCCTGATACTGGTGATCGAAGGTTAGGAGTTAAGACACGGTAAAGAAGCCTTCTTATATCGAGTTGAGTCAGTCAGGTAGTGAATCAAGAGTGAGGCAAAAGTTAAAGGCTTATTTGTTCAGACTTTATGGTGCACAAGACCGCCAAAAATGCAAGGTTTCCCGGGCGGTAACATGTGATCGAGACAGATGAACAAGAAAGCCTCAGTGCAACAGGTCTGTTTCTATCTTCTGGAAAGATCCTTTAATGGATTATTTGTGGGATTTTGCGGGCCAAAAGTACTTCATTAAAAGGCCCAGAGTATGTCCTTACACTAACTAGCGGGCTAGTGAAATGCAAAGCCCGCATGACGGGCGCCTGGTTTGTGCCTTTCAGATTAGCCTCTGTGCTTCTTTGGTTTTTCTTTCAATCTCGCAGGTGCGGTACACCCTGCGCTTGGAAGCAGAGCCCTGCACGCAGCGTCCAGAGAAAGGCGCCCCACAATCCGGCAAGCCGCGGAGAAAAAGCTCCGCGAACACATGTTCACATGTTCCTCCCCATTCCTCCATTCCTGCATGCTTTCTGTGCTCCTGAGCAGATTCCGCAATATGCATTGACCCGAGCATTTGCGCGGAGGGAGTGTCGCTGTCTCGGTGCTCTTGGGCGGGCTGCTGCTTGGTGCCTCGGTCCACAGAGGACATCACAGGTGACAGCTTCTTCCGAGAGTGAGAAAGAAGTACACAAGATAGAAGACACTAGAAGTATCACGAGCCAAAAGTATCGACTCGCCCCCCCGAGATTCACCAGGGCAAAATAAGAGAAAGAGAGAGAGAGCTTCAAAGAGAGCCTCAGAGAGAGAGAGAGAGAGAGAGCATTCTCGACGAATTGACTCGCAGCAGCTCAGCTCTGCAGTTCTCCCCCCCTTTGAGAGACAACAGAGTCTAGAGTCTCAACTCACTGTTGTTTTCGGCCGGGGGGGGAGGAGGGGGACCTGTTTTCTTCGCGCTCTGCAGCTCTCAGAAATAGACCAGTTTTTGAGAGGACATAGAGGACAAAACATTTCCATGTTCTGCGCTCTGTCTCTTCGCCGCTTCGCATTGTTTTAAGTGCTCCTCCTCTCCAGGCTTCGCAGCTTGTGGCTTTGCGTGCGCTCTGCGCGCCAGGCAGGTCTCTCTGAGCAGAGATGTGTGAAGCAAATTGTTGACAAGAATGTCACAGCTCTCCGCTTGCTGCAAGCGGGGATCGTTTATGTTCGAAGAGGTCGCTGAGTGCCTTACAAAGTCTCTGTCAGAGAATACATAGCTCCCTGCAGGTTCTCCGCGCCCCCCCCCCCGCCCCCCCCCCCCAACCCCCCACCCGGTGTTTTGTTTTCCCCCAAACGTGTTTTTGAGAAGATTGGAGTCTTGTTCCTTTGCTGTTGTCCTTGTTGTCCTTGTTGTCCTTGTTGTCCTTGTTGTCCTTCTCCAAGGCGGGAGCTCCTCACGGACTTCGAGGACGAGTTCACGGAGCACTGAGGAGAGATGTGGTGCTGAGCGCGAATTCGCGCAGCCCTCTGAGAGCCCTGCGTAATGCAGAGAGCTTCCAAAAAAGCAGATCAGCGCTCCAAAAAAGAACACGAGCGAGAGAGAGAGGGAGAGACGGGAGAGACGGGAGAGACGGGAGAGAGGGAGAGAGGGAGAGAGAAAAGGGCACACCGTCACACCCCTGCCGTGAGAGAGAGTCTCAGACTGACCGGTTCCCAGAGCCGTTGTTCCCTTTGACTGCTGTCTCCTTTGCGGGATTCTCGCAGAGGAGCGTTGCGACGATGCGCAAAGCATGTGCCGTATCAGGGAGCGCCATGTCACAGGTTCACTCAGATCTGTAAACTCCTCTTCAGAGGGCACACGACAACACCCACAAAACGGCGAACCATCACACTGCAGATGAGCATGACTGCCAAAATAAATGAGTTTCCTCGCTTCAAAGCTACTGCCCTTCTGAAGCAAAACCATCGGCTCATAAGGTTGCCGATTTCAGGCTGATGGCTTCAACGCGGTGTTGTCATGTCACGGCGTTTGCAGCTCCTAGGTCACATTCTTCGTGATTGTTCGCTGCCTGCCTGGAGTGTGTGTTTTCGGGAGGGTGTCCTCATTTACCGTCGACTCTCCTCGGTCGTCCTCGTCCTCGCTGGGCGGAAACTACTATCGCGCTTGCGTATCACAGACTCAATACTCCTAGGCCTCAGGCTTGGGAGTACTCGCATGCTTTCTTTCGCATGCCCACCCTCCAAGACACTGTCTCTGTCCATGCGGGGTCCCGAAGACGTCCGTCTCGGCATCGCGGAAGCCCATATCTTGAGGACCTATCCGGGATACAGCCCATAACCGTGCCGCGTTCAGAAAGGATGTCTGGTAAGTCCTCTGTCGCATTTTGAGTGGGTCCTGGCTTTTCTGTGTCTTGTGCACGCACACTGCCAAATTCCCTTGAAAGAAGAAGAAGGCTTCAACGCGGAGCATCAGCGGCTGCAAGGAGTGCATGACAGCGCGGCGTACTGGTAGCACAGCAAGTCATCGGTTGTGCTCGTGACGGAAGCAGCGTATCGAAGCGTAGCGTCGTAGCGAGGCGGGCGCGTTCGGCGGCCCGAGCTGCCGAACTCCTGCAGCTGCCCGGGACAAGGCTACTGCAGACCATCCATAAACACGGGCTTCCCTCATATATGATAGATCGAACTGCAAGCAGATGATCCTGGGCACAGAGCCTGTTTGCACGTACCAGTGTCTCTGCCTGCTATACCTGACCTCTCTGTGGAAGACGTGCAACGCCCGCACCATGACTAAGCGAGTCGAGGCCAATCAGCCCCTCCTCCAAGCCATCAGCGAGCTCGAGGATCCGCAGACTGCCCTCCTTCTCCTTCGTGCGTGTGCGGCCTACTGCAAAGTCTACGCCAGCCGCGTAGCCCCGCCCCAACTCCATGACCAAGCCCTGGCCACCTTTCATGGAGAAGTACGCGGATGCCTGGAACAGGCTTGCACAGGGGCCCTTTCCACTGATGCCTGGGAGCTCGCGGCATTATCTACTAGGGCTGGCGGCCTGGGCCTCCGCCATTCACGCCGACACAGCAATGCGGCCTGCGTTGCTTCCGTGCTTGCCACGGGCGAGCTGTGCAAGACCATCGACCCGCGCTACTCATTTGAGCTCAACGGTGCCCTTTGCCTTCAACCGCGATGTGTTCCCTGCTGACCGTGTCCCAGTTGAGACGCCGCCTGCCCTCAGACAGCAAATGCTGTCACAGGCGCTTGACCGGGCTGCCTTCCAGCAGTTGAGCGCCGTGGGGCCAGGCAGGGAGAGCTTCCGCGCCCATCTCCAGCTGCGCCGCCAACCTGGAGCCGGTGCATGGTTGCACGCGCCACCCGCAGACACCTCCCACCCACGCTCAGATGGGCATACCTGCAGAGCAGATGGGCATACCTGCAGAAATTATGTCTCCACAATTCCGCAGCATCGGAACATGAGACTGCTGCCTTGTGTGCCAAAGTTGCAAGGGGTCAAATGAAGCAACGTCGGACGGACTTCAAGCGAGGAAGAAAAGATCCGCCACAGACCGGCACCATGCTGTCATGATGGGGCGAGCTATTTGGTCAAGTTCAACAAGCCGCTGTGGCGCGAGCTATTAAGTTCGAAGAGCCGTGTTGGCGCGAGGTATTTTGTCAAGTTCAATCAGCCGGCCGTCATGGCGCGAGCTCTTGGTCAAGTTCAAAGATCCGTTTTGGGCCGAGCTATTTGGTCAAGCTGTTTTGGCGCGAGATATTCGGTCAAGTTCAAAGAGCTGTTTTGGTGCAAGCTATTAGGTCAAGGTCAATGAGCCTTTTGGCGTGAGGTATTTGGTCAAGTTCAAAGAGCTGTTTGGGTGTGAGCTACTTGGTCAAGTTGATAGAGCTGTTTGGCGCGAGCAATTTTGTCGAGTTCAAAGTGCTGTTTTGTTGCGGTCAAGTTCAACCTGGAACCCCGACAACCCAATTATTTTTGGTCGTTGGGTTTTTTACGGGTTTTTACGGGCGTTTAGGGGGAATTACGGGCGTTTAGGAAATTTATGGGCGTTCTGCTTTTGGCTCTTGAAATTACGGATAATTATGGGCGTTTAGTGGTTTGTGAGGATTGGTGCAGAATTATGGGCGTTTAGGGGTTTTATGGGCGTTTAGGGGTTTCCGGGTTCATCCAAACAAACAGGGCTGAATATATGCCAAAAACAACAAGCCCTGAGCCCCTCAAAACCAAAGCCCTATATAAGCCCTTCACCCGAAGCCTGCAGGGATTTTGCAAACCCAAGCTTCCTAAAAGACCCCTGGGACCCCACCCTGCTCAAAACCTCAAGCATTTTGGGACCCCATTTTGGCCATTGAGGTTTTTTGGGGATTTGCTTTGAAAGGGTTTTTTGGAATTTCCTGGGCCGGCCTGGCCATAAAGCCTGCAGGTTTTGTAGGGTTTTATAGGGTGTTAGGGTTCTTGCAAGGGTTTTAGGCTTCTAGGGTTTTAAGGCCTTTTTGGGTTTAGGGCTTGATGGGCTTAGGGTTTGAGGGCTTTAGAGTTTAGGGGTCCTCTGGATTGTAGGTCAAGCTTCAGTTTCAGGGGTTTGGGGATTTCAGGCGGCTTTCCGTAGATTTCAGGGTTTGCCGTAGATTTCGGGTTTATCGTAGGGAGTTCACAGCTTTCCGTGTGGAATTATGGGTTCCATGTTTCGAGGGGTGGGCTGCATGAGTTGTTGGATCTGAAGGTTTTTTCAAGGCATCACAGAGCCTAAAGCCTTTCCGTGACCTTTCCGCGCCAGTCCCAATTATGGATTGTTACCGTTTTTTAGCGGTTTTTTATAGGCGTTTTAATGCGTGGATTCTTTCCGTAGGGGCCCACGGAAACAAGGGGGCTTTCCGTAGACTTCAGGGGGTTTTCCGTAGATTTCGTGTTTACCGTAGGGAGTTCACAGCTTTCCGTGGAATTATGGGTTCTATGTTTCGAAGGGTGGGCTGAGCTGTTGGATCTGAGAGTTTTTCAAGGCATCACAGAGCCTAAGGCCTTTCCGTGATCTTTCCGCGCCAGTCCCAATTATGGATTTTTACGGTTTTTTACGGTTTTTTACGGCTTTTTTACGGTTTTTTATGGGCGTTTTTGCGTGGATTCTTTCCATAAGGGCCCATGGAAACCCCACGGAAAGCCTAAATCAACAAGTTTACGGGCGAATTACGGGTGTTTACGGGCGTTTAGTAAAGATTACGGGCGTCTGGGCTGCTATTGCCGATCCTAGCGATCCTAGCAGCCGGAAAAAACAGTCCAACTTCGCAACTGTCGTGGCAAGGGAACGAAAAATGAGGTTAACAAATCCGGTCCAATTCAACCCACACCTATACCCCAAACCCCTCGGAAGTCCTGGCTGGAGCTTATATGGTGAATAGGGCTTATATGGGTTTGTCTACAGGGTCTCCTCATATACGTTCGTGTGGCAGAACCGTTATACCCCAACCCCACCCCAACCTATAAACCCTGCAAGTCCTGAGGCTTAGGGTCTCGGGTTTGTTTCGTCTTCTCATAATAAGTGTCGCTTGTGCTTGGGGGTCGGCAGGGTTGGTGTTAAAGACTCATACGTAAATAGGGTGTCAAAAATCCGGTAGATCGCAACTTAAGTTGGTGGTTTTGCTTAATGCACCACCCAGAATCTCTCTAAAGAAGGTAGCTTAAGTCCCTGGGACCCAAACTAAACCCCCCCACAGAGGCCTCGAACTTCTTTTTGAGCAACAGAAAACAGCCTCAGATACACGCGTGTCATCCTTGCGCAGGGGCCATGTGCATCTTCACCTGGCGGAGCTTACGCACTCCCCCTCGCCCAGCCTACAAAGCTGGACGACAAGGGCTGGAAAACATAGCGCCAGATGAATCGGCACCCCTCGCATCAAAAGGGTTGGGAAAAGCTTGGTTCTTCCCGTTTCTTCGAAGCGGACATCTCTTAAAGAACGTCCGGACGATCGAGAGATAGAACCCACAGCGCCCCCTGTACGTTTCGTGGAGGTTTGTCGCCTAGAAGCCTCAGGGACCAAAGCACAAAACTTCGGAACTCTAAAAGCCCGCTCTTTCAACGGAAGGCTTCTTAACATAAACCTCACACTTCTTCTACACATGCTCCGTTCCTTCCAGAGCCCTGCGACAAAATCGGACAATATCCCACTCGAAAGAGTCCTCTTGGTTCATGGCACCCATTCAGTGCTTACGCTCAATCCGACGAGTCTTCACCCCTGTCAACCCTAACCAGATACGCCCCAACATAGCTATGGTACTCGTCTTGGACTTCCTCGGGATACTGCTGTACATCAATGTGGAACCCAGCACGCCAGAGACATAACAAAATCTGAGCCCTATGTGGCACTCCGCTTGGCAATGGAAGTTCAATGACGTACTGGTCTTCAGTTTGACTCTCGGCTGTACTGTTTTTTCTACGGCAAATAGTCCTCTTCACAGTCCACTTAAATGCTTCCCAAACTCCAACGCTAAA